TTTCTATCTTTAATCAATAAAGTCCCATTGTCAACACCCGGGATTTAGTATCCTCAGAGCTTCCTGACCCATAGTCTGAAAGACTTTCATACTCACACACTCATTGTATCTCTCTGCTTTTTGCTTTGTTCCTTTAAAAAAAAAATAACTTCTAATTAAATGCATGCTGAGTTGTAAAATGCATGGGCATTAAATGGCTTAAGTATGTCTGTCTAAAACATTCAGAGGAAAAATCTACTTTCTGAGTAACCCTCAATTATTTCCTAAGAAGGGATAGTGCCCTCAAATATTACGAAGACCGTTTAAGATGGTTTGCATAGGAGGAGCTGAATAGTCTGCTTGTACCCATAAATATATCCTCAGAGCTTAATTCACCTTTGATTTAGACATTTTAATATGCATAAGAGGGAGGGGAAGCTGAACATCAGCTAAGTTCTGAATTAAATTTGGGGGATAGCCATGGTCATTGAAAGTGGGCCTTGAAAAAACTTCAGACTTAAAAGGAAGCTGCATGTGCACGGAATGCAGTATGAGTTCTCTAAAGCAACATGTGACATTTTACTGCCTTCTTGTTGTGTTTTATATCTTGTTCTCTCCAGGCTTCGTGGACTCGACCAGAGAAGCAAGAGGTATAGCTTACCTGACCACTAGCCAGTCTCTAGCTCTGAAAGCATGTCAGTTTAACTCACCATCACAGTCAATAACCAACCAGACTTGCTAACCTAATGAACACTTTAGTTAAAGACTAGGTCCATAGCCGTAGACATCACCTAGCAATAGTGTCATTTTTTTTTTAGGATGAGCAAGCAAGCTGTGTTGGGAGTGGAGGAACAAATCCTTATTATTTCCTAAAACAGGACCTTATTCTCTTACTGGTGCTGGTCAAATCATACCCAGGTCATTGTACTGATAGAAATAAATTGCCCCAATTCCCAAGCCAGGCACTTTGAAATAATAATAAAAAAAATTTAACTCTCCTCTGGTGGCTGTGGCTCTGGACCATAAAGTCACAGAGTGAGTGATCTAAAACCCACTCGGCCCTTTCCTTTCCAGCTCAACTCATCTTGTTGCTCACTTATTTGATAATGACTGGCCTTGGTAAATGATCACATTGCATTTCCTGTCAAACACAATGCCAACGACATCTTTCACAGGTTTCTCCAAATCGTTCAACGAATCTGTTATTTTTATGGAGCATTAAATGTGTACAATTGGAGTGATTTGGCACAAATGGGTTTATGTTTTGTAAAGTCAGTAGCATTTGGGATCATCCTTGCCTATTTCTTCAGTCTAGGTGATATGGGGAGACTCAGGTGGAAAACTGAAGCTAAGCATTAACCTTTCTATCTCATTGCACTACTTGGAGACCCTTCATATGATCATGCCTGATATTGTTTACCTGATTCATGTAACTATAAGTGACCAATGGGAACATAAAAACCGGTTGGCCCGGGACCAGGGAGATAGGGCTCAGTCAGAAAAGTGATTGCAACACCAGGACCTGGGACTGCTCTTCAGCACTCATAGTAGAAGCAAAACATGGTGTTTTGTGCTTGTAATCTCCGCACTGGGGAGGAACACACAATGGATCCACGGGGCTGATTGGCCAGCTAGTCTTACTTCATCAATAAGCCCTAGATCCCAGCGAGAGGCTCTTTCTGGAAAAACAGAGTGGATGGTTCCTGAAGAATGACACTTGGGTTTGACTTCTAGCTTCCACATAGACACACACACACACACACATACACGCACGCACGCACATACACACACACACACACACACGGAGCAACTGTATGAGATTAAAACATCTAATTTGTGAATGTTTTCTGTTAAATTCCCTTTTGTGTCCTTCTCCAAATGGAGCTTTAATACCCCAATTTACAATCACAGAAGACGATCCAGCAGTTCAATAGGCTCTATATTTTAATTCAGTGAGTGTACCCTCTTAGTCTTTCTGGGTGATAACCATTCAGAACATTTAGCATATGACCCGTATTCAGGTCATAACCTTAAATATTGAATGCCGCTTAATAGTTAAAAGTTGTTCACCTGACTCCTGGCAGGGACATTCATTTCTGCACCCGAGCAGTCTGCCATCGTCAAATCTAGTTCATCTCTGTAATGTGCCTTCCTTGATGATATGACATGGAGACTGTTGTTAAAGCACATGTCCCCACTGAAATGCTTCCCTCCTGTGACCTTGAAATCACTTTGTGTTGTCATAGGCTAAGTGTTGAGTGTGTTATTGCCCCTAAACTATGGCCCCATTGGCACTGGGAAGGGAGAGAGGAGGGTTTATGATGGGCTGGCTCCCACAGCTACAGGGCTCATTCTGCTTTGCCTTGTGTGTCTTCTCCTGTCATTCTGAGCTAGACCTGGCTTGAGGAGTCACTGCAGTTTATCAGGGAACATTAAGGAGATTTTTAAATGGATTATCATTATAAGTGGAAATAGTAGGTTCCCTCCCAGGAAAGCGTACACCCCCACCCCATTTACCAGAAGTGTCTTTCCTCTTGAATGCTTCACTTTGGACATAATTGACTTTCAAGTGAATGCTACCCATGGGGCTCAGAAGTTCCATTTTCTCCTGTTTGACTCATTTAGAGATGGAGACCATAGGCCAGATGAGTGCAAAGCCTGGCTTCTGTTGTGGCCACGTTCTTTCTGCATGCTCTGAAAGGCTTAACTCTTTGATCTGGTAAAAAGGGAGAGAATGGTTTTCCTGAGAATAATTAGAGTCACAAATATTTTCTTAAAGAGAGAGAAAGATCTCATTGCTGGAGTAGTCTTGTTTCACTCTTACCTGAGCACACTGCTCCCTCTGGGGGAACCCGAGTGGTCAGCAGGACTTTTGGTTGACAGGTCTTGTGAGTGTATCCCTGTGCCAGAGGAAATTCTTTCAGGATGAGATAGCCCAATCACACTGGAGTCCGTTGGTGTATCCTCCAAGGGATAACTGGACATCTGGTGGAGAATCCCATCATCAAACTTGCAGTGAGCTGCTACAAAATAAGAATTCCCTGTTGAGAATTGCCTACTGGTGTGAAGACATCATTAAATGACAGAAATCTCCAACAGGGAAATGTAGGCAGGGAGACCAGGTTTAAAAAATAAGTAAACCAAGAAAGAGTATGTACAGTCTTTCCAGGAGCTTGTCTTCAGACATTTCTGAGCGGATGCTGTTCATCCCTTGCTTCCGTGACAATGCTATTACCTGTGTGACTCTCCTTACCTCCTTTTCATGGGCTCCTGTTCTCTTGGATTCCTGAGAATTATATACATGGTAGTCCCTGGACAAGCCTGATCTGGGTCACAAATCCTCACAATTCATCCCACAGTTGACAAGACCATGTGTGGACCTTCAGTCCCTTCTCCTTCAGTTATGCCACGCTTTAGGCAGAGAGGAGTGACAATGACAAGCAAATCAAACCAGCTTTTTAGAGCTACCTACAAGAATGACATCATGCTCTCAGAGTCTCTAAATCAGACTGATGGGTGAAGATTGTGTTTGACATATAAAAATAGTGACTAAGATGGTCCACTATCAGCCTACAAGAAACAGAGTCCTAGGACCTAGCATCTCCAATAAACTGAAGTCTATAGGCTCTCTGGGACCGTCTCCTGTCACCTCTCATTAATGTGTACCGTATCCTAGGATGCAACTTCTTGACCAACAAGCCTCCCCTATTTCCAGGTCAAATGGGAACACCAGGGCATCCATTCCTGAGAGAAAGAGATGCAGACAGCTGTAGGCACAGATGGTTTTCCCTGGCCTTTCCCTCCCTTGTTGGAAGCATGTTTTAGCTCCCAGATACAACTCAGATAACTGAAGCGGACCTGATCCAAATGGTGCAGATCACTGGTAGTAAAGGGACTTTGTGCCAGAGATCTGCTATCACTGTTGTGCAAGGCCAGTGAGATCTTTCTTTTCAACTTCCTGGACTGACTGACAAAAGACATTGCAATTCTGCCTCCCAGGCTTCTGATCCAGCATGTTGACAGAAACTCAAGTTATGCCATTTAATTCTCTGAAGACCAAACCTGATACCTTGGCAGATGTAGTACTTGCCTCTCATCCATCTCTACTAAGAATCTTGTGCTAGATTTAGTGGGGTGTCCCAGCTTGCACAAAATAGGGTTCTTCTTCAGTTTATCAGTTGGCAGGGAACTCTGGCCCAGGGGCACATACCTAGACCCTTGGAGGGCTGGCTCCCCTTTTGCTTAGAATGTCAAGGAGGGAACCCTTGCAAATTCTCTACTAACCATTGCCTAGGGATTGTGTGCTCATTCATTTCTTGTGAGTCTGGAGACTCAGTAAACTAATGGCAGTATCAAAGACTAGAGATGGTTGCAGGCTTTGGTACAAAGGATCCTGGGTGAGTCTAGGACTCTCTTTGCACTGTATTTTGAGAGTAGACTTTCAGCTCAGCAGTGCCTGAGCTTTGACTTGTTTCCCCATTAAGAATGATGACTGTCTTGCTATCAAGTGTCCAAGGAAGAGACACAGCTACAGGAAGGACATTCCTTGCCTAACATTTGGGTCATTGGCATTCCCTAGTACACATTCACACACCGTGGACCTGGGTGTGGGGGAGTCAGACTAGAGAGAAAAGACGGGGCAAGTGTCAGTTCCCCAGGATCTCAAGAGGCAAGGCCTTGCTGGAATTTGTGCCTTGCTGGAATTTGTGCCTTGCTGGAATTTCTGTGCCATCCAAGACTATTGCTTCCATTTTAATACATCCCGAACTAGTCTTGGGTGACCTTACTATGCTCCAAATCGAGTCCCATTTTCTGTTTGAACTATGGTAAAGCTCCTGCTCTGTTCCCACACTCTCCCCCATTATGAAATAAGTGAAGTGAGATTAGAAGTTGACATAGAAAGGACACTAGAGACCGGTCACAGACAAGCCATGACCTTGTCTCCTAGACCCACACTGCTCTAACTGCCCCTGCCCTCTGCCTCACCTCAGACTCTGATGCTGTTCCTTTCCTCCTGGCAGACTCTGGATGGACACATAGTGGTCCGCAGCCATGCTCGTGTGTCCTCCCTGACCCTGAAGAGCATCCAGTACACAGATGCTGGAGAGTACATCTGCACTGCCAGCAACACCATTGGTCAGGACTCGCAGTCCATGTACCTTGAAGTTCAATGTAAGGAATGGCCGGGGAAGGAGTGGTGGGGGGGGGGGGAGCCGTGAAGGATCAGGATGCTGGAGACCCATGAGCTTCAGCTTAGCTAGCAAGTTCCATCATGTTCATTCCCCGAGGCTGTTGGTCCTCGACTGTTCCACAGCTATGCCCCCACGTACACACACACACACACACACACACACACACACACACACCATCCCCAAGGTAATCATCCATGCTGAGTCTTCTCAAGCAGAACATGGGTACACATGAATTCCAAAATGTCCCAGAGCTCTACTGGTCTAAGAACCCCCTATGCTTTGGGTCATGCCTACCTTCCCAGTGCCAGAAGACAGGCTGTGGGTCTTCCAAGAAGTGGTAGCTGTTCTGATGTGCATTGTTATTCATTTCAGATGCCCCCAAGCTCCAGGGCCCTGTGGCTGTCTATACTTGGGAAGGGAACCAGGTGAACATCACCTGTGAGGTCTTTGCCTACCCAAGTGCCACAATCTCCTGGTTCCGAGATGGTCAGTTGCTGCCAAGCTCCAACTACAGCAATATCAAGATCTACAACACCCCATCTGCTAGCTACCTGGAGGTAAATTCGGGTGTGGAAAAGGGCAGGGCGGAACATGTGATATTGGGAGGGGTCCCATCACTTCTCCTACTTCCCTGGCATATCCGGAACTGGGGAACACTGAATGGAGAAGAAACTAAGCCTTTATCTAGGTCTTCATCCTCAGCTAGACTGGGATTGGCAAGTGGAATGTGCCTCTCCTCTGAGCCACTGGGTTCTTTCCTCTGGGATAATATCACCAGATTTATCCTTTCCTAACTGTATCTAAGAAACAAAAATAAGTGTGGCCATCCATGGGACATTTGTAACCCATGGGGTCATTCCTTCTACAGGTAACCCCTGACTCAGAAAATGACTTTGGAAACTACAATTGTACGGCAGTGAACCGCATTGGGCAGGAGTCCTTGGAATTCATCCTTGTTCAAGCAGGTGAGTGCCCTTCAATGCAACTTCCACAGCATCCCTGCCCTTTCTGGCCCATCCCGTACACTTTAAGATACCAGTGAAGGGGTAGAAGACAGATCCAGGCTGTGAAAAGTCAGATGATCAAGAAACAGGAAACCACTTAAAGTATGAGAGTCTAACTACAAGTTGGGTTGAGAATTTGAAGTGCACTGGGAAAGCAGAATCTCCAAAATCAGAAATTCTTACTATTAGATAGGGATCCCCAAGAGGGAGCAGAAGCATGGGATATATTTCAAAGTGTAGCCTTGGGCCACATACGTGACCCGGGCGCCTATATGAATTCTCACAGACACACCGTCTTCTCCATCCATCGACCGGGTGGAGCCATACTCCAGCACAGCGCAGGTGCAGTTTGATGAGCCAGAGGCCACGGGTGGAGTGCCCATCCTCAAATACAAGGCTGAGTGGAAGTCTCTGGGTGAAGAAGCATGGCATTTCAAGTGGTATGATGCCAAAGAAGGTGAGTCCAGCACATACTGTCGAGTTCTTAAGACCTTTGTTGACCATGTCGGTAGGGGTACGGGCAGGATGTCACCGTCTGCCATCCCATCCAGTTTCCTCCGGAACTAGGAACTCTCCAGCTAGAATTAGATTAGGGTCATACTTCCATAGAGTTGTTGGCCTTCTGTCCCTTGCTGCTTCAGACCTCATGACATCACCAGGACAGGCAGAACACCACAGATGCCTCCTAGACAAAAGACCTAATTAGCTGGTGGGGAAAGTGAACGTAAAGCATCCCTGCTCTGCTCTCTTCTTCTCTGATGACACCTGGCCATCCCAGCTTGGTGTCTGTCCCCAGGGACTGTCATGTACTGATGGCAGTAGCCAGGCCAGCAAGATGATAGACCTACTCTGAACCAAGCCTGTTCTATCTTCCAAGTTAAGTCAATCCAGTGATGCCATTCAAGATTAAAGATTAATCTCTCTCTCTCTCTCTCTCTCTCTCTCTCTCTCTCTCTCTCTCTCTCTCTCTCTCTCTCTCTCCCTCTCCTCCCCTCTCTCAGTCCATACGTATGTCTANTCTCTCTCTCTCTCTCTCTCTCTCTCTCTCTCTCTCTCTCTCTCTCTCTCTCTCTCCCTCTCCTCCCCTCTCTCAGAGTTAGCATCAAGTTTCTTTCCTAAATCACTCTCCTCTATATTTTTTGACCCTGAAATCATGAATGGGCTAGCTGATCAGTATTCATCTGTGATCTCTGATCCATCTGTCTCTAGCTCCCCAGTGCTGGGGCTGCAGAGTGTACCTCCACCCCAGCTTTTACATGACTTCTGGGGGATTCAACTCAGGCCGTCATGCATGGGCAGCAGACACTTCACCCACTAAGACATCTCCCCAGCCCCCTCTCCTTTAAAATATCACTTCTACTTATATGTTAATTATGGTAAAAATCCACATGAAATGTGTATTTAATCATTTTAAGAGTACAAGTCAGTAGCATTGAGTCATAACCATCACCCCATCCATCTTCAGAATATTTCCATGTTCTAATTCCTTTCTCTACTCCTCTGGTCCCTGGTAACAACCATCCCCCCCCCTCTCTCTCTCTCCCTCTCTCCCTCCCTCCCTCCAGATTATCACCCTAGGTACCTCATGGGAGTACCTCATATGCTCTTTGTCCCTTTGTGCCCACTTATTTATTTAAACAAAAAATGTTCTCACAGTTCGTCCATATTGTAGCACAAGTCAATGTTTCATCTGTCAGATGGGGTAAATATCCCATGTTGGTCCTTGCTACATCTCATTGACCCATTCATCTGTTATAAGTCACCAAGGCTGTTTGTGGCTTTGGACTCTTGGTAACACTCTAGGTGTGAACATGAGAGTACAGGTATCTGCTGATCTCTCGCTTTCACGTTTTCCACAAGTTTGCCAGGCAATGGTTGTGTGTGATTTTATGACGACCCACCCTACTGTCTTCCACAGCACTGCTTTTCCTGTCCACGGCCATTCTCTTTTAATCTGTCCCATATTCTCACCACAGCCAACATGGAAGGCATTGTCACAATCATGGGCCTGAAGCCTGAGACAAGGTATGCGGTCCGACTGGCGGCCCTCAACGGCAAGGGCCTGGGCGAGATCAGTGCAGCCACTGAGTTCAAGACACAGCCAGTCCGTAAGTACAGCCAACTCCTCTGTCTCTTCTCCACGCTCATTCTCTTCTTCCTTTTCCTCAGGGGTAGACAGGGACCCTGAGTTGTCCCCATCCTAGCTCAGAAGATAGCTTTTGTCCTTTGGGTCCCCATGTTCATAGCGCCCCCACTTAACTCTCTGGTTCTCAGGGATGGCTGATCTGTATTCCTTTCATCCTGAAAATGGGTATGACACTGTCCTCGTGGGCGGCCCAGTTTGTTAGAATAGCAGCCAGGGGCCACCACTGATTACCTATGGTGAAGGGCTGAGGGAAACACACAGGGCATTTGGAAGGAGTTGAGAGAGCTGCCGTTTGAACCGGGCCACAGAAGCCCCTATAAACACCCTGTAACTCGAAGGAAGATAATAGAGACCGTGACTGTTCTTGTCATTTGTACTGGGACTTCTGATGCACTGGCAATATGAAGCCATAGAGAGAGAAAAACATAGAAGAGTCGTCTTTGTGAAGAGGAGCAGGTCCCCATCATCCCAAAGGGGCCCGGGACTTACCTGGTTCTTCCCTCCCAAGATGACTCCTCAGACCATCTGTGCCTCAAGGACTCTTTCAGGCGAGCTGCTCTCCCCAGGTTCCACACAGGGCCGCCTCTAGCTTCTCTCTGTCATTCCCTCCATCCCCCAACCATGCTTGCCTAGCTTAGCCTTCTTTTACTACAGCAGCCAGGCCCAACCTTGCCCTAGCTGCATCCCTCTGCTGTTCACATTGCTGCCCCACCAGGCCCCCGGGTCACTCCAGCTGAAGAAGATGCTGTAGATAGAACTGGTCTCCCGAGTGACCACAGAGCTCCAGGCTCTTCCGTGAACCCCTGATTTAATCCACACATGAGAACCCTTTGCTTCCTTTCCTGGGAATCCTGGGAGCCTACAAACAGACCACCTTTAACCTCTTCCCAGCGATAACAGAGCTGTTCTCATCCTCCATCCGCAGGGAGTGTTTCTCTCTGTTTGAAGTAATTTGATAATTTAAGTTTCAGCTCCATGTGCCCTGTGGATTCCGTTCATTTCTTTTACATCTTATTTTTTTTCCCCTGGGTCTGTCTCTTGGCTTTTCTTTTCGTCTGTGTTCCATCCATGGGAAATGCAGATAGCCCTCCTCCACGTAAGTGCCTCTTCATACCTCATTACCTGCTTCCATAGTGTTAACATCTAGTTCTAGTTCATAATTTAGTTCTGGCCCCCTTTTTTGTTCCCTAGAGGCTGAAGTAGATGATGCTGTCTGAGCCCTAACCACACTGACCTTAGTCTAGCTGTGCCTTTGTTAACCTACATAGGTTACTCCGAGAGGCTAACACTACTGTTCTAGAGCATGCAACTTCCGTGTCTTTTGAAATTGTGCTTCTTTATTAATTCTTGTGTGTAGTCATTGCTCTGCAGAAAAGATAAGGTTGGCTGACCGAGCATGGTGGAAATCTGCAGATGGTCTCCGGGTAACGAGCTCATAGCAGCCCCTCACTTTTAGCCCTGGTACCAGAAGAGTGATACCTACCTCACAAGGACCCTGTCCCAAAGAGCTGAAAATAATCTTCTGGTTTGCTTTTAGGAAGTAAAGGGATGGAGCACGCATGCTTCCTGGCTTATCTGTTAGGTGGTAGATGCAGACGGGCAGAGTCTTCTGGTGGGGAGCCCTTGTTGAGGTGGCCTACAGAAAGGTGTCCGTGCACACTGTGTCCCGCAGGCGCTGTCTGTAGTAAGGGTGGGGAGGGGGCCAAGCTCTAGGTTCTTGTCAGCTCTCTTCATCAGCACTGGTTTGCTTACAGTGTATAGTTCCACGCTGGGAACAGACTAACCTGTTAACTTAGTGACTACCCAGTGGAGCATAGAGAGGGAGAGGGTCCCCCATTGGGGTGACACTCTAATTATGTAAACTGACATTAGGGGACACCTAGAACAAGGGAAACAAGGGAGGTGGCGGCTGCTGCAGAGAGTAGAATTGGCCTGTCCCCTCAGCCCACTGAGACACCCAACTCCCAATGTCACTTTGCCAAGGTTTGGCTCACTCTTCCTATGCTGAGCTCCTAGAGAACAGAGAGAGGAGGCACTTGACAGACCCGGAAGGAAAGATATTCAGGAAGCCGTTCACTGTTCTCAGAAAGCAGCTAGGTTTTCCAAGGCACCCTGGGAAACTTATATTTATAAAGTGTACTCTGAAATACTGCAGCAACAGCAGAAACTAAGTAGCTGAGTATGGATGCCACACCGTCAGCCAAGTTGGTGTCTGACTGTATCAGCTAGGAAAGGCATCAGAATCGGGGCCTGTGGGCGTGAGGGATGCAGGTAGGAAGCAGTTGGGTAGGACTGACAGCTCTGCCCCAGGGGAACTTAGGAGAGAAAGCTCTTCCTTCTGGATCCTTCCAACCATCCTTAGCTGCATCCTCCAGGCCCTTTTCTACAGGAAGTGATCACTAAGCAAGGACCAGCTTTGCTAGGTTGGAGAGAGGGAGGCCTGGCTGAGGCTTGCCTTCTCCCAGTGACTACAGCTGACTCAGAGGAACTGCTCTGGGCCCTCAAGGTCACAGTAGTTTCCTTTCATTGCCAGCTTGGGCCTTATGAAGATAGGGTTGTTGGGGGTTTGAGTTTGCTTCTTAATACAGCAGAAGGTACGTTTTAAATCATCTCAAAAATTACGTGTTTAATTGCGTTTTTTTTTAAATTTTAGTTTTAGTTGTTAATTTAAAAAAAAAATGAAGCCACCAGACTTGGTATTTTGCTGTCAGTAGTGTGAAAGTGGATGATTTATGGGGACGCTGAGGTCCTCTAGAGAAGCTGTGACAGGACAGCAGTTAGCACGAAAGTCAGTTTTCTCAATCATATAATAAAGTATTATTATAAGAATTAATAAGCACAGGCTTTAATAAGCATAGTCCTAACCCCTGCTTCTTGGGAAGCATAGGCAAGAGGACCATAAGTTTAAGGCCAGCCTGGGATACAGACCGAGTTCCAGGCTACCCTGGGTAACTTAGTGAGACTCTGTCACAAGATAAAGTGTAAAGCGAAGGGGCTGGTGACATATCTCAGTGGTAGAATACTTGTCCAACCACAGGTTTAATCTTCCGTACAGGCAGGGATGGAAGAAAGAAAGAAACAAGGGAGAAGGGAAGGAGGGTGGTTAAGAAGGAAAGATTAGAAAGCAACCTTATTTTTCACAAGCAGAAGTGAAGTGTAATCGCAGATGCTTGTGCAGAATTATTGTCGTGGAGGTTTGGTAAACATGGAAACAGTACCCTTTCTGAAGACACCTCAGGGGGGTCTTCCCTTGCAACCTCATAAGCTTTCCCGTCATTGAAGTGTGGGTCTGGCCCAGGGGTATCCTGCTCATTCTGGCTCAGGCCCCTTCTGAAACAGGAGACAGTGGGAAGATGAGGTCAGCCTACTTTTGGTACTGTGAAGTCTCAGTAAGGCCCTCCTCTGGGTCCTCACTCCCACTTCTCAGAAGACAATGAAGTTCCTGAACTCAGATAAAGAATCCGATGAGCTGTGTGTGCTGCCAAGCCTGAGCTCATGCACTGGCACTACTGCCCTGTGCTATAGGACTATAGGTATATATACACAGCCTGACTAGGGGCTCTGGAGTTGGGACCACAGTATAAACCCTAGCCCCAGGAGAGAGAAGGCACAGGACCAGAAGTATTAGCTGCCAAGTCCCTAAGATGGGAGGTGTTAATTGAGACCAGTGTTTGACGTTAACTGTTGAAATTCATTGAGATGTTTCAGTAATGGAGCTGCTTTCTTGGCTCTCTGGGAAACCTCTGCACAGTCAGGGGCATAGGCTTATCAGAAGCAGAGATGAGCAGGCAAAACTAGCAAAAGCTGTAAGCTTGTAAAGGACCAAGGCCTCCCAGCTGCCCGGAGAAGCAGGGTGTAGCTGTTTGAGGGTCCTCTGGCATGGGGGTGAAAAGAGAGCCCTGGCACTAAACAACCTCTAACCGGGGGACACCCTGCTGCACGTGTTTTCAAGTTCAATGCCCGTGTGGACTCAAAACCCTTTGCTATCAAGCTTGTGATCTGCGTGCCTTGGGAGGAGCTGCTTCCTTGCCGGGACTGCTTGCATGAATTCTTTTGCTCTGTCAAAAGTACCTGGATGGTACTTTTGATTTTGCTTCTGCGCCGAGAAACAAGAGTATTTCAAGCTGTAGAGGTTACACGATTTTTAAAAGAGGTGCCTTGAGATTTTTATCTTGGTATATATATATATATATATATGTCTATATATCTATATATATATATACACACATATACACACACATATGTTTTATTGTCTCTTCTGTGACACATGTGAGGACACCTTAAATGCATTGTAATGCATGTGATTAAAATCATAAACTATCTGGCCTTTCCCGAATAATATGAACAATATGTATCTTGAGCCCACACCCACACAAAGAAAATGTGAGAGAGACTCTTACCTTGATTAACCGAGCCACCTCTCCATGAAAGTTTAGTAACCAAGATGCTATGACTTCGTGCACATTGACTCTGGGCTTCACCAGATAACTTTACCTAGAAGGTCCTGGAAAAACAACCCCTGGGCATTGGCTCAGCACTGCCACTAGGTTGATGCTTTTCCATCTTACCACCGAGCTCTCAGAGGGAACTGTGTTTGTTATTGCTGAAGGACAGCTTCTGGATATTATTCAGTCAGACGGCAAAGATCCATTCAGTGCCCCAGCGTGGCAGACATACAGTCTCTAACCATCTCCATGGTAAAGGGCAGTTAGGACGGTTTGTGAGGATCCTGTGTCCTTAACATCCCCTTTCTCTGGGGGAGCAGGACTGACCCTGAGTGTTGTCTGTCACCCTCCTCCCTAGCAGCATGAACAATCACTTTCTCTAGGGAGGATTTTTGGAAAGCAGCCATGTTTCCAGAGGCTTCTGTATGAAAACTGGCTGTACCCAGCCATTGAGGATGGCCAATTTTATCCCTTTCAGTTATTGAAGTTCAAGAGAGAGATGTATAGGTTTTGCTGT